TTCTTCTTGTATATTATCAGGGCCTGACGCTTTGCCATCCCTTAACTATGTTATTGCAGAATAAACTTCCTGCTGTAATATTCTTGGTCCATCATTTACTTCTTCTAGCTCAAAGGTGTTATCTCTTTGGTCTTCAAATAGTTTTTCTAGATATTCTTTAAACGTTCCTATTTTACTCTGTTTGTCAAAGATGATGTTTTCATCAGAATCAGTTATACTTCCTTTCTGCCTTCGTCTTAGTCCCCCTGTGAGTTCTTTAAATTTCCTATGTACATTGTGACTATCGTACTTTGACTGCAGAGTCTCAATTTCTTCGCATCTTTCCTTTGCTTCTTTTTCTTTCGCTTCTCTGACTTTCGTTCTTATTAATATATTTATGATTTTATATTTGTTTGGGTCATTTTTGGCTTCTCTTCTCTGGTCCATTAGTTTAAGGATCTCATCTGTGATCCATGATTTTTCCTTTTTTAATCTATCTGTCTTTTAAGTGTTTATCCTTTGCATTTTGCACTATTTCTGTAATATGATTGATCGTTTGTTCTTCGTTCGATTCGTCTCTACTTGCAGTCACTCGCTCGTTTAACGTGGTTTGGACTCTCATCCTCGTATCAAGGTCTTTCAGCATAATCGTATGATTGTGCTTTTCTTTTCTGCACTGTTTTGTGTTTGACTCGAAATACTCCCACCAGTGGAACGTGGTCTGTCTCCAAGTCTGCTCCAGGATAAGTCTTGACAGATGTAACTAAACCTGTTTCGGAATCTTTTATTTACTAAAATGTAGTCTATTTGATTCCTAATAATTGTCCCCGGTCTATCTTGAGGGGATTTCCACGTGTACAGCTTGCGAGGTGGTAATTGGAAGAATGTGTTGGTGACAACTAGTTCTGAGTCTTCTGCGAGTTTTTATAGGAGGTCTCCTGTCTCGTTTTTGACTCCAAGTAAATGTGCTCCTGTCTCGTTTCTGACTCCAAGTACTGTATCTTATCTTCAGCTCCAATCTTGGCATTAAAATCGCCTATAATGATGAGAACTTCCTGTCGAGGAATTTTCTGTATGATACTGTCGATGTTCTGATAGAACTCAATTACTTCTTCCTTCCCTTTGTCTGCAGTGGGAGCATATACTTGGATGATGTTTATATTAATAGGGTTATAATCAGCCAATACAATTTTTAATATCCAATATCAAGCTCCACTCTTTTCTTTTTGACATGGACTTTCCAGAGCAGCCTCGCGTCTAGGGTGATGTCCAAGTATTTTGCTGATGTTGAATAAGGAACTTGGATATCATTTACCCTGACTGGGAAATTTTCTATTTTTTTATTTGTAAAGTTAATATTTGCAGATTTATAGTATGGCTGTATCATCCGCGAAGGTGGCAATAGTGTTTTGTTCTAGCTCTGGAATTTTACATGTACGTATACAATAGGTACAGGACCGGACCTAATACACTCCCTTGTGGTACGCCAACATTGATCTACTTTAAATCGGTGTACACTTCTTGTTTTAGTCTGAAATATCTATTCGCAATGTATGATTCTAAGATTTCTAAATACTGTTTAGGCATGATCGTTCTTAGTTTATAGTTTAAACTCTCATGCCAGACTTTATCAAACACCTGTGCTCTATCCAAAAAGATTGTAGAGCGGACTTTCTTTTCTTCTGTTTTTCTATTATATTCATTGTTCTGTGAGCTTGATATGTAGTGAAATGTTTATTTCTGAAACCAAACTGATGATTTGGTATAGGATTTTTTCTTTCTATTATTGGTTTTAATCTTTTCAATTTCAAGTTTTTCAATAGTTTTGACATCACCGGAAGGAGTGATATTGGTCGATAGTATGTTACTCCATTAGGAGGTTTATCTAGTTTGGCGATCATAATGACTTAGGCTACTTTCCAGAGTCTGGGAACATATCTCAATCTAAAAGCAACATTTATTAGGTGTGTCAACAACTATGGCTTTTCTTGATAGATCTTTTAATAGGTCTTCTGTTATGAGATCATATCATGGATTTATATTCTCTTTTATCTCTGTTGATACTACTCTAAATGATGTCAACGTTGTTCTTTCTTAGGTTTGGTTCTTCCCATCTCAGTTCTTCGTGCAGTTTGAACGTGCTTTCTAAATGATCTGCAAATCGTTTTGCTTCCTGTTCGTTACTTCTAGCCTACTTGCCGTTTTCCAACTTGATAGGAGGAAATTGAATAATTGGTCTCTTTATTCTTTGTGTTGTCTTCCGTAACAAATAATCTGTATTCTGGTCAGCTGTTAAATTACTTAAAAATGAATCAATTTTTGAATTTTTTATATTGTGTATCTCCCGTTTTAGTTTTTGTGTAGCATTGTTTAGATTAGTTTTGTCTGGTGGAGCTCTGTATTACTGATATTTTTTTCTTAACTTTCTTTTACCACTATGAATTCTCTGATTTCTTCTGGATAGTTGTTCCTTTTTGTTCCAGAAGTTATTTTGGGTGTATTTTCTCAAACTACCTGTTGAATATTTTTTATAAAAACTTCTAATTCGTCATCAAGGTGCCTCGTATTTCTCGATGGCACAGCTAGATTAATTATTGTGTGTTGAAGGTTTTTTGAAGCTCTTCCAGTCAGTTTTTTTATTAGTCAATATTGGATTGAACTCTTTTTTGATCACTGTATCATTCATAGTTAAAATTATCGGTGAGTAATCAGAGTTAATGTTCCAGCCGTCATTGATATTCAGATAGTTAGGTTCATGCATTTTGTTCCAATGTTGACTAATTTCTATTTCACATAATGTTGTATGTACTATCTTCAAACAGTTTTCAGACCTGACTTAGGTAATAGAGTGATCATTTGGATCTGGTCACAGTTTTTTGCGTTAGGTTTCTTCGGAATAAGTATAAAGGCAGACTAGAATCAGTTCTGCGGCATTTCACTCGTTTCATCAATGTTGTCAAATATTTCTACCAGAGTATCCATATTCTTGTCATTTAGTTGTCTTATTACTTCTATGTAGGTATATTTTAACTAGTGCTACCTTTTCATGCTTACTTTGTTTTATTGCCTTTTTGATTTCTGATTTAAGTATTTTTGGAAAAGGTTCGCGTTTATATTTGTCTACAAAATTTCGCTGGTTATTCTCTGCATAGAGTTGTTGGGTATACGTTTTCCAATCATGTTCCAGGTCGTGCATGGATCTGTTAAATTCCTATACATTCTCTAGAAGCTACCTCAGTATGAATCTATCATTGATTTGTTTGCAATAAAAGCTCCTAGGGTTTCATAAGCTGCTTTTCAATACACGTTCTCAAATTCGTCCATTCATCAATTATATCTGATTTCTTAGATCGTATCTTCACACATTGATTTAAGAATCTTTTACTCTCTTACTTTATTCTTGTAAGAATACATTATAAATATCTACTTCTTGTCGTCATATTAAATTTGTCTTTTTTCGACTCAATATTCGAATTCAGTACCTATATTCTTGATCTCCATCGAAACGCATAAAGAACGCATTCGTGATTTGCAGTTAGTTCTCGGTAGCGAAGTGATAATGTTAATTAGTATAAGGATAAAATGAAAAATAGGTTAGGTATAAAACGTCTATATTTCCTAGATTATATAAACTCAACACTAGATATATTGTCTAAATAATTATAAACATGATGAAAAATACACTAAAATTATACATAAATTAAAAGTTAACAAAAACGATAATATGCTTAAGAATTAGGATCAAAGAGAACTATCTAAAGGCATGCGCACTTGATAAATACTTGTTCATTATTTATTAGTGCTTCAATAGTACATTTTTCAACCTTATAATATATAATATGTAACCTATATATTAAAGTTTCTAAAAATTGCTAATTTGGTTCGGAATACTAATTGGTTTACCGTTATAATAAGCCAAGGAAAACGCCACTACAGACTTTTAATTTGGTATTAACAAAGTTTTAGTTTAAGTTGGGTGAACAATACTTACAAATTTGTTGACTACCTTTACAATATTATATTAATACGTGTTGCTTCGGTGACATAGTGTTATTGCTCCGTGGTCACAAACTAATAATGGCATGTTGCTATTTATTGCATGCAGTATGAAGTTATTGTGTTGTCAAGATGACATTTGACAGCTACAAAAATATAGTGAACCTACACTTCAGAATATTTGTATTCTGTGTCTACAAGTTCGTGAGGGTTTTGTTGTTTCGTTAATTACCAAATTAAAGTTGCACGGAACTAATACAACATACAAATTAAAATTATGAAAATGTATTATTATTTACTAACAAGACAAATGAAAACAAGTTAAATGCAATATGAAGGAAGTGATAAGTTAATACATGAATGTTGTTTTGGTAAAGTTTAGAGCATGTACTGAAAAGTATTGTTTAAAATCGGATAAAGATATATTTGTTGATGAGGTTACATTATATTCAAATTCATTTTTGGTTGGAATTGAAAGATAAAAAAAAACGTGGTATATTCAACAACCTCATTATATTATGTTTCAGATAACTGTTGGTTTCTGACAGCAACAATCAGCCACTTGTGTGACTGATTGAAGTTTTGCTGTCAACTATCAAGAAATTCGCCCACTGTTACCAAGGATACTAAACACATATGTAGTCAATCGTTCTTGAACTGTTACAATACAAGGACATTTTAAATGTCTTAAAATATTCTTTCCAAATATCAGTTTTATTAGCCACTCACTGTTGTTTCTTATGTGTCTGTAGATACATTTTATTAGTCTAAGAAGTTATAATCGCGTTTTGTTTTTCTATTATAAATAATCCTCTAATATCCCTTGACAATAATGCAAATAGATCAAAAAGGAACTCTGTATGCAATCGTTCTTTATTTTTAGACTGAAGTTGTAAAGTAATTCAGTATAGTTCTTCAGTTATTCAGTTTTATCACGATCTTTATGTCAAATTTCAACTGTCAAGCAATCTACCGATGAGAAATATTATTAAACTAAAATTATGATTTAATCGTGTAGTTTGATTATACTTTTCTTATTGCGGTCTATTTTCTGAACGTTTATTCAATTCCAACCTTAATCGCTTAGATACATTCAATTAAAATGCCACCTTACATGATATAACCTCAAAACTATTTCTATTATATTTATTTACGAAAACATTGTTTTTTCTGGATGTGTATTTTAGCTCAGTTTAAAAAGTTTGAATAAAAACCGACACTTTTCAGTACACGCCATGGAGAAATTGAAGCAAAGAATACTCATGTTTCCATCGGAAATGAATACAAAAGGATTCCTTGTTTTTTAAGAAGGATTTTTCGAATTTACACGTTTCCGTTAGGCGTATGGATTCCATTTCCGTTGGTCAGGGAGTTTGCATTTCCGTTCGTCAAGGGGGTTGAATTTCCGTTCAGTGAAGGGGTGGATGTGCCGTTTGTAAATCCGTTTGTCATGGGTTTGGTAGGGGTAGTAGCGGGACTGACGATCGTGTAGGTTTCTCCAGTTACTGGATTACGTTCTGTAAAAAAAATAATTGAAATTATACACGTTTACAAAAATTTATGGAAGGTTAAGGAAATATTTGTTTTAAAAATTTATAAAATATTTTATATTTTTATTTTATCATTTATTAGAATCTTAAAGGTCAATGTGTCCAGCCCATCTTAGTCTCGTCACTTTCATAAATTTCACAATATCTTGATCTGTGTATTGCTGGCATAATGCAAAGTTCTATTTGACCCATTTTCATTTATGGTCCCAAAAGTAGCCTATGATTGTCTAGGATTGGGTACTTACAAAGTAAGTTTTATAGTTGAAAAAATTAGTACGAATTGTATTTATAATAAATTTCATCATATTTTAGGCTAAGGAACAGCCACTTTTACAACAAAAGAAAATAGACTAAGATGGTCAAAAGAGCATAAAGATTGGACTCTGATCGCAATGGGATTAAAATAGATTGATGAGTCTAGATTTGAAGTGTGTGTTGGAGACAGCAGGAGTCGCGTCATTCTCAGGAAAAATGAAGCTTTTTATCCCGACTTTCTGAAGTCAAATTTCCTGCATCTATCATGATCTGGGGCAGCATGTCGTCTAAAGGTGTGGGAAAGTTACATTTTATCGATGGGATTGTAAATAAGGACAAATATTTGAATATTTAAGAACACCGTTTTACCGATTATGGAACACCGTTTAACATCAGCGGAAGATTTTGTCTTCCAACATGACGGCGCAGGTTGTCATACTTCAAAAAAGAGTTTAAAATGGATTGAAGACCATGGCATACCACTTCTGGAATGGGTTTCTAACAGTTCCGACTTGTCCCCGAAAGAGACTTTGTGGCGTGAAATGAAAAAAGCTTTGAGAAAACATCCTGCCTGGTCCGTCAACGAATTGAAGGAAACATTGGAAGAAATATTGGATTATTTTACATTAGAATTTTGTCAGAACTTGGTAAGTAAACTAAAGTTCGTGTAACCTTCTGGCTAAGGTCTAGTGTTAGGGTTTTCAGGTCGCGCAAACGCCCCTAACATGACAACGAATACTTTCGAAAGCGGGATCGATGGGTTTACGTGCCCTCCGAAGCACGGTGAAGCTCAGTTAAACTAGAAATTGAAAATTTTGTCGGTGCCAGGATGGTCAGAACTTGGTAAAAAGTATGCCTCGAAGAATTGTGGATGTCATTAAAAACTACATGGATGTAACTAAGTGGTAAACTTTCATATTTTTTTTTGTTAATATTACATGTTCTATACGTTTTTTTTTTAATTTATTATTCTGTTATAAAATATTTTGTATAATTAGGAAATTCAAAAATCAAAAGACTGATATTTTTTGTACACACTTATGACAAGTCGAAAGAAAATGTAAAAAAGTATTTTTGAAGTGTGTATATTTTAGGCAATTCCTAGCTGAGCGCTTTCGGCTTTACAAAGCCATCATCAGAGCTATGCTACAATAAAATGTTCTTATAAGTACTAATTGGTAAAGATTATAATTTTTTAACTTACGTCAATTTTTTAAATACCACTACAAAGGAGAGATCTCATTTCCTTATATTTCAAAATTATGATTTTTTTAGTTGTTGAAATTCTTAAAACATATAAAAAACATATAAAAAGCCGACACTGGACTTCACAAACACGTTAAAAAAATTGAAAAAAATTTTTTGTCATGGTACGGGTGTAAGAACCCGACCATTGATTGATGTGAGGAGGTAGACAGAATAGAACTAATGAAATCAAATGTCGGTCCTTTTAAACGATTTTTCAAAAGTGACAGTTGACAAATGTCATATATAGGAAATAGAGATTGTTTTTTAAATTCTTACAAAATTATTTAATAGTTTGGAATTACTAATAGTCATCAAAGACTTTCTAAAAATTAAGTTTTTAAATTAAATTTTATGTGTTCATCACATCATACAGAATGACATTAGTTTGTAAATTCACTCAAGTCATTGCTCAAGGTCAATGTATGTTCAATCTGACAGCCATCCTTAAGAAACAAGGGCTCAAATTGTTCAACAATAATATAAAGAAGAAACATGGTATTAATGTTACGTTATCTGATACTTAAGTGTATTGAGAATTGTATCTCTTGATGGAAATTTGTAAGAAATTTGCATAAAAATTTTTTTAAGAATGTATTTTCATGTTTCAATTAAGAATAACTGTCAAATGAATTACAAAATGTTGTAAATTTCTAATAAAGTTTAAAATTTGTTTAAAAATATAAAAGTATGAAAAAATATATAATAAGATTGCATGAGGTCACCCTTCTTCCTCTAAAGTCTCCCATAATAATTTAAAAAGAGGTTTATAATTGCAATTGAGGTTGATTTGTGTGTTTAAGCAACAATCAGGGTTTAGTTTCATTTCTTTGGATATCTCAAGATCTTCCAAGAGATTCATGAGTCTAAAGTTTTTATTGGGAATGTTGTGTAAAATTTTACTGTTTTCAGAAGGAGAAAAGGAATGATTATTAAATTTAATGTGATATCCAAAGTTTGATTTTTCTGGGTTATTGAGGTGTTCTTTGATTCTTTGATTCAGAGTTCTCATTGTTCTACCTACTAAGTCATATTACAGACAGATCAGAGAACTCTGAATCAAAGAATCAAGAACACCTCTATAACCTGAAAAATCAACTTTGGATATCACATTAAATTTAATAATCATTCCTTTTCTCCTTCTGAAAACAGTAAATTTTACACAACATTCCAATAAAAACTTTAGACTCATGAATCTCTTGGAAGATCTTGAAATATCCAAAGAAATGAAACTAAACCCTGATTGTTGCTTAAACACACAAATCAACCTCAATTGCAATTATAAACCTCTTTTTAAATTATTATGGGAGACTTTAGAGGAGAAGGGTGACCTCATGCAATCTTATTATATATTTTTTCATACTTTTATATTTTTAAACAAATTTTAAACTTTATTAGAAATTTACAACATTTTGTAATTCATTTGACAGTTATTCCTAATTGAAACATGAAAATACATTCTTAAAAAAATTTTTTATGCAAATTTCTTACAAATTTCCATCAAGAGATACAATTCTCAATACACTTAAGTATCAGATAATGTAACATTAATACCATGTTTCTTCTTTATATTATTGTTGAACAATTTGAGCCCTTGTTTCTTAAGGATGGCTGTCAGATTGAACATACATTGACCTTGAGCAATGACTTGAGTGAATTTACAAACTAATGTCATTCTGTATGATGTGATGAACACATAAAATTTAATTTAAAAACTTAATTTTTAGAAAGTCTTTGATGACTATTAGTAATTCCAAACTATTAAATAATTTTGTAAGAATTTAAAAAACAATCTCTATTTCCTATATATGACATTTGTCAACTGTCACTTTTGAAAAATCGTTTAAAAGGACCGACATTTGATTTCATTAGTTCTATTCTGTCTACCTCCTCACATCAATCAATGGTCGGGTTCTTACACCCGTACCATGACAAAAATTTTTTTTCAATTTTTTTAACGTGTTTGTGAAGTCCAGTGTCGGCTTTTTATATGTTTTTATATGTTTTAAGAATTTCAACAACTAAAAAAATCATAATTTTGAAATATAAGGAAATGAGATCTCTCCTTTGTAGTGGTATTTAAAAAATTGACGTAAGTTAAAAATTATAATCTTTACCAATTAGTACTTATAAGAACATTTTATTGTAGCATAGCTCTGATGATGGCTTTGTAAAGCCGAAAGCGCTCAGCTAGGAATTGCCTAAAATATACACACTTCAAAAATACTTTTTTACATTTTCTTTCGAAATTCAAAAATGTTGTTCGATGCATTAAAACTTCTAAAATTTACGCTGCGCTTTTATTTTTGTTCCCTAAAATTTAATTTTCTTATCAATCTAACGTTGGGCCAAGTGATATGGCAAGGAGCTCGTATATCTATAAAAGTCTATACTTTTGTGTTTGTTTCTACTTAAAATAACTTTCTGTACAATACCTGTGTAAACTTTTGAAGTTTTGGATAATTTGCAGTCCCAAGACATCACTCCATTTCCTGTTACTGGATTGCGGTTGTTTACATCTGGAAATACACAATATATATTATATAATTAAGTTAATATATAAAAAATATAATATTGCAAAATAAAAGTAACTCCACTTTGTTACGTAAACCGATAACAATTGAAATAACAAATTTTTAATTACTGTTTCAACTTTGAGACCTTAACGGGCTTTTTACGGAGCATGTACCAGTCACGGGAGACCAAAATACCATGAATAATTCTACAATAGTTCAACAGTATACTCGAGGGGGTGACTTACTCTCAAAAACGAAATCTGACACCGTGAAATATGAACTATACACCGCAATTTCAGCGTTGACCCTTTTTTCATTATTTTTTTTATGGTTGAATTATGTTATTCAAAATTAATTCCATCATGATATCCCTGTAGGCACCTTTGTCATTTCGTGAACTTCTTACTTTCTCAGGTTTAAAAATTTCATTTATAAGGGATTAATTTTGTATTAGTTTGGTGTTTAAACTCTCAAAAAAATATTATAAATTAAGAAATTACGTTGAAATGTAAATTTTTATAAATTGGCACGAAGAGTCAATTGGTAAAGTGGTTGGAAAACATTCACCAGTGTATAAGTAGTAACTAAATCATAGTAGTGGAGAATGCATCTGATTACAGCCACCAGCATGGTGGTAGATACCGTCAATGGTGTACTGTCGATTGTTATACTGTTTGGTCTCATTGTCCTGTCAAGAAGACTTATAAAGTTAGTAACAGATCAATATTATGAGTAGCATTAGAAAAAAGAAAGATATTGAACAAGTTGTGAACATCTTAGGAGGGTATTACTACTGAAAATGAGGATTCAATATATATTTGCATTGCTTAAGACATGCTCATATATATTTTTACCCATTTATAAATCGCTATTCGATACACTATCTTAGTTACTTAAGTACAAGGGGTTAAACTTCTTTTAGGTACCATAAATGTACGTTCTAACTACAGTATTGTGCGAATTAATAGTAATTGTGACATTTTTCAATATTCACAGCACAGACCACTAAGACGTTTCACGTTTCACGTAGGTAGCTCAAGGTCAAACCAAACTTAATGTCATTTGTAGTACCGATACAAATCTTCAGATGTCACTTTACTCTGTCTTTACCTTTACCCTACAGTTTAGGTTTAGAACAATTAGAACACTTAGACCAATTAGAACTAAGAACAATTAGAACAATTAGAACTAAGAATTATAATTGTCAATCGCCAATTGTCATATTAGCGTCTATATTTTGATTTTGTTAAATTGTAAATTACAAATCCCCTACCTCAGTGATCTGTGTTTTAAATGTTCCTGGCGGTGTTTAAACAATATTTTGCAGATTAATAATACTTAATTAGTTAAATATGGTTCTTCACAATAAATGTTCCAATCCTACAATGTACCAATTCGTCATTAATTAGACATGCCTTTCCAAATCCTGATAAAGACATTACACGATTTAGGAAGTGGCTTAGTGTTATAAATAATCCTAATTTGATGAATAATATAATATGATGAATGCTAGTACAGTTTTTAAAACAAAACGAGTCTGCCATACACTTGGTTTGTTTGCCAAGTTTGTATGCCAAGTTTGTTTCTTCATGGAGTCATAAATTGTATAAAAATGCAATTCCTAGCTTACATTTGTATGGTAAGTCCAATAAATATTTGATATTAGAGAACAAATAACTAATTGATAATCGATTTTAGATTCTTCTTCTAATGTACATCCCAGAAGTATTTCAATGTTGTGAGTGGGGAAGCAAATGTAACAGAAAGTGAGTAACCCAAATATGTAATTAACAAACATTATTTTACCTGAAGTGAATCATGGTATAAATTATTAAATTAACCTCTTCTTTCCATGAGTTCCGTAAAAGAACAAAGTCCTATTTATCTGAAAGATCATATTTTTCAGTAGAAGAGCTTCTTAACGAATAGTGTTATGTACAAGTAACTAAACTATTTGTATAAATATATATTTCAGTATCACATGCAGAAACTTAAATGTATTAGTTCGTAAGGATTTATTATGCACTTTATTTAAATTTTGGAATACATTGTGTATTTTATTATCTTTTATTTTGTAATATTGACGATTTATGTAATTTCAGTAAATTTTAAATTGCTATTTTTCTGACATTTTGTAAGCTTTGTCCATAAAATTGTAAAATTTTTAGTGGTAATAGCATATTTTTATTCTATTCTAAATTACAAAGTTGTTTTACAAGTATTAAATAAATAAATAAATTACATTTTGTTTTATTTTTTCCTAAATGGTATTGTGTATATTTGAATTTAAAAATGTCAAATGCATTTTTTTTTCAAATATACCAAATTATATTTAAATATTTTAAGCTTTATTTAAATTTTCCCACCAAAATTAAAATTTGAAATTCCCGCGTAATTTCCCGCTTGAATTAGTTCCGATACAAATCTTATGGAGCGCTGAATTTCATATCCAACTCAAGCATTGTCGTGGAACATCTAGGAGGTAGGTGATCTGTGATTCACAGTTGGTTATACTGTCTACACATTTACAACTGACCAAGCATTAAAAATATAACCTTACTTTTCTCTGAATTTTATTTGAGGGTGTTTTAGGACAATTCCCACTAAGTTTGTGTTGTTTTGTACTATTTTGAGTTGTTTTCGGTAATTAGTGAGTTTGTTTTGTTTAATTCCTGGATATTACGCCTAGGAAACGTGAAAAGATTATCACGTTAAGTGAACATAGTTCTATGTCACAAAGAGAAATCACAAGAACATGTGGAGTGAGAAAGGGGGTAGTAAGCAAGCTTTTGAAATGAGACGCGAAATGAGAGCAACGGATGTGAAAAGGTTAGGAAAATGCGGAAGAAAGAGAAAACAACACTAGCAGATGAAAGATTTTTACTTCGAAAGAGCAAATTGGAACCAAGAAAACAAGCCAAGAGCTCCAACAATATCTAGCATCATGAGCTTATTATTGAACGAATGAAGAAACAAAGGCTATTGTGGGCCAAAAAATACTCTAATTGGACAGTAGACGACTGGAGAAACTCCTATTTACAGATAAAACTTACTTTATAGTTCAGGGAAAGCGGTCGAAATTGGTCAGGAAGTCTGACAACGAAAATCTTACACCATCTCATACTGATCAAACCGTAAAACATCCAGTCAAAAACATAGCAAATGATGGACTTTTTCAAAAATAAGAAGATTAAGTTCCAGATTGTTCCGGTAATTCGCCAGACCTAAAAACCATTAAAAATTTATGGGCCATTTGTAAAACTAGACTGCTCAAAATCGACTGTACTACAAAAATAAAAATCATAGAAGTGGTCATTCAGGTTTGGTTTTGAGAAGAAAGGATATCTGAGAACTGTCAGAAGCTCGTAAATTCTGCGACAAAAAGGGGAAAGTCAGCAATTGCAGCCAAAGGGAGACATCTTTTCTACTAAATAATGTAAGTTTACCGTTATAGTTTTGTCAAAATATAATTTTTTTGTAAATAAACTGTTTTTCATTAAAACAGCCCATTCCATTAATTCGCATAATACTGTATATAACTTAACGTAAAACATTACCTTGTTTAGTCAACGATCCTCTTCTGGGGTGAGGTCTCTTGTTTTCGGGTGAGCCAAATAGTTTGTTGAAGGAATCGTTACTTTGTAGGGATCTTCTTGGTGTAGTATGGCCGTTTGTTTTGTTACTGTTTGGTGGGGTACATAGCACATTGAAGATTTCACTGCTTTGGTTGGAAACTCTGGAAAAATAAAACAATATCAGAATTATTCATAAATCAGGAAGTATAACAGTATAGATACATAAAGAAAAATGTGGCAACAGGAGAGAGAAATTCTCTTTCCTGCGGTAACCCACTATGTAGCTTCTTCAAATTTAAACATATTGTAAAACTGTTTGTCCTTTATCTAGTATTGTGTAAATGTATTATTTAATGTTTGTAATATTCCTAAAATTATTGGATAGCCTATAATTTTGGCTAAATGTTTCTGAAGATGCTCTGAGAGTGAAAATACTTGGGCAAGATTTAATAAAAAACTGTTCTCGATATCTGCCTTTTATTTGTTTAAAAGTTCATATATATATATATATATATATATATATATATATATATATATATATATATATAAAGATTTAAATTCTAAAAAGTATAAACTATATTATATCATATCTTGAGATTAGTATTCTCCTGATACGCTTATGATTGCACTCTAACATATAATCACAGTTACTGCTCTAATCGTCATGGCCGGTACTCATTTTTCTTGAAACTTGTAATTAGTAACAGTGAGTAGGTACTTTTAAAATAAAATTCATAAGAGTGCCATGCAGCACAAATTAGCCCCGTAACAACTGAGTAAATATGCACAGTGAGTATGCACGGCGAAAAGAATTACGTGCACATATTGTTTCATGGTACGTGAGCCCTGTTAATTTCATATGGTCAATTATAATCGGTCATCCTTTGGTGCCCGTAACTTACTTTACTTTTTGCGACCGGATGCAACTACCACTTTTTTGGTACTCTTATACTCGAAATAAATACGAGACGTACAATCGAAATAAAAGAGCCACCTAGAGCAAGTGATTTAACAGCAACCACTTTTAAAAGCAATCCTCCTAAATATTTTCTCCTTCGTAAGGATGTAGCGGCGTCATGTAATTTGTTTGACTACTTCTGTCCAATTATCTCTCTCCTGGGCGTGTAATTTTGCTTTGGAGAATGGGTAACCAGTCACGTCCTTTATTTGGTCCGACCAACGTACTATAGATCTTGCTCTGTATATTTTACCCATTACGTTACCTTCAAGTATCATTCGCTTGTTATATGTCCAAAACATCTCAGTATATTTTGGTTGATAGTTGTGATAAGTCTAGTTTTTATATTAAGTTCTGCTAGAATTGAGTTATTTATGCGATGGGTGGTCCATAGTATGCGCAACATTCTACAGTAGACCCACATTTCACATGCCATTATACGCTTTCAATCGACTTTTTTTTATTGTCCAAGTTTATGAAGCGTAGGTGGCGATAGGAAATATCAATGCTCGAACAAGGCGTAATTTTGTGTTTTTTGTGATGTTTGTATGTTCTTCCAAAATTTTGTGAGTTTGGCTGTTGCCGATCTGGCCATTGTGATGCGTCGACGGATCTCGTCTTCTCATCCTCCACTGTTAGTAATAACGGAGCCTGACCATTTCGTAACCTGCCCTGATTCTTATCTCTGCCTGGTTGTTTCTGATTCTAACGTGAATCATCACTTTGGTTCTCTGAATATTTATTTTCAAACCATATTCCGTACTAACCGTGCCTAGCCTATACATATTTTGTTCCAATTCTTCTGGTGATGATGCCAATATAACAGTGTGATCAGAATAACATAGGTTTTTGAATTTTTTCCTCCTATCGTTGCTCCACCTTGCCATTCCTCAAAAACTTGTTCGCATATGTTTACTATATATATATATATTGAATATAATAAGGGATATTATGCATCCCTGTCGAACTCCAGATTTAAATTTGAAAGCAATCAATCTCGTGAACAAATAAAATCTCTCGTAAAAATTTTCGTGCGATGATTTTATCATCATTTAATCTTCGTTTGCACACTTCTGGACAAACTCTTTCCTTGTGCCGCTTGCATCCAATTCCTATGACAACGTTTTAGATCGCCAGTCCAACATATTACTGGACGACCTCTGTTTCGATATGCATCATCTCTTGGTCTCCATTACAATATCCACTTTTATCCATCTGTTATTTGTCATACGAGCCACGTAACCTGTCCAGTTCCACTTCAGTGTTGCTATTCTCTCTAGAGCATTAGCCACTCCTGATCTTCGTCGTATGGCGCTTTATTGTTCACGCATGGTTTGAAGAATTAACGTCTGAACTCGTTAGCTTTAATCATGATACTAAGACTAAGAAGATAAGATATTGCGCATAAGTCGTGACGTCATTGGAGAGTTTGACGTTCGAAATGTCAGTTTTTTGGTATGTATCAATAAATAATCTTTAATAAATAGTTTGGAGATATCCTTATGCGTACGATTATTGTAATTATTAAACCTCTTAACTTATTTTCGTCTAGTAATTTCATCACAGAATGCATACAAAGCCCATTTAATTTTAACAAGAATTCAAATTCTACTCTCCAATGACGGCATGCGCGAACACGACCTATTTTGTGCTACGGGAAGATCCTATCTTGTTATTATAGTATCATGGCTTTAATGGCGTTGAGGAATGAGAAAGAATTATGCCATTGAGGATCTGGTTATACCAACCAACAATTACCTGAAATATATTGTCAAAGACCCTCAGGTCCAAAACGACAAATGCCGATATGGATGTCAAGCCCAAGAAACCATCCAACATCTTACCGGGGGCTGCCAGGCATTTGTTGCAACTGAATATAAGGAACGGCATGACTCATCCTCCATCAAGAAATGTGTTTTAAACTGGGATTTCTACAAACAAGTCACCTCCCATATTATCAATACGTCCCTGAGAGTATGCTTGAGAATGACAACTACAAGCTATACTGGGATCGCACTGTGCTCACAGTTAATAAACTAACGAGACAAACAACACTAATTGATGTGGCGATACCTAACAATAATAATTTGCGTGTTAAGTACAATGAAAAGATCTCCAAGTACAGAGATCGGGAAATACAAATAAGAAGACAATGGAGAATAGAAAGTACCCAGACGATACCTATTATTTTTTCTACCACTGGAGTCATCCCGAAGAACCTCCTAGAAAACATAAAGAAGCTGGGTCTAAATGAAAATCTATATAAGATCATGAAGAAAGCTGTGCTACGTGCGACTTCCAGATGCGTGCGAAAATTTTTGGGAGATACACCGACGTACCAAGTTACCTAGGACTCGATAACATGGAAAGAGTGCCATCAGAGCTCAATCCTTCTGATATCGTAGGTATCTGGAATGAGTGAATTTTCCCCTTAGAGGGAGTGTGAGCCGTATGGCTAAATCTGATAGTAATTAATAATACACACTATTTTTGTTCTAGAAAGAACAGATTTTATTAAATAGGTAAAAATATGAACCAACAGGTATTCACTTTAAAATTCAAAATAATAAAGTACAAAAAGTGTCAACACCGCAACTGTCAAATAAGTGTTATTAATTTATGCCAAAATATCACCTTCGTTCGATTACAGTTACAGTGTGTTCCGAACAAATGTTCTTTATAAAAACGCTTTATAGTGCATTTACACAAATTAAATAAAACATATTATTGTGTATTTCTTTAAGTTAATATTAATAGAAATCATTAAATATCAGTTCTACGCGTATATAATAAAATATTTCTAGTGACTGTAATGCCAGTGTACTCGGCAAAGTGATTCTAAAAAAGAACACACCTACCGCCCAAATATTTCGTGTTGGTATCATGTGACCTCACGAGCTATGACGCGGATGACATACAACGGTAAATAATAAATATTTTATATGCTTTTATTTCTTCAATTTGCCTATCTTTTTTTTTATAAAAATTGGTAATTATTATATAACTCTAATGTTATATGTATATCTCCTGATATACAAAATTCGTAAGGTTCTTGGGCTCGGCATGACCCTTTTAAAAGCTGAAAGCTAGAGACTTTCTTTCTAAAACCCCCACTGTGTTTATTGCTTGATTTACCGCTTAACAAAATTATGCATAAGTCAAGGTACTATATTTGCGAATTTACCTTATCTGTCTCGCCAATTTAATTCCTTCATCTCAACCTTTTTAGAGGTAAGTGTATATTATAGAAAATAACTGGCAAAGATCTGCACGATGCACAAATATTTGCATAAAAACATTCGAGCTATTTTGATTCGATTTTCGCTTTTTAAGTAAAACAATCTAAGAATATAATTTATTATAACGGGACGAGTCTGCCGACATGATTGAGAGCATCTCGAAAGACAAATAAAGCAAGAAAGAAAATTACTTACGGAGAATGGAAAATGAGAATGCCGTGCCGTGAACAGTTGCCTGCATTTTTGCATGCTCGCATGGTGACATTACTTTTTATAAGGCCTTATACTTTATTGTGGTTGTTTTTAGTCGAGTTATGCCTAAGTTGTTCTAAATACAAGTTAAAGTGTGTTGATTGTTTTCATTTGAAAGTCGAATATCTGTCACGGTTTCTGCAGATATCTCTCAATCATACCAAGAAATAAGAGGAAAACGTGAGCATTTATAGCCAGCGATTTCTTTAATATAACATTTATTCTACACTAATTGATTTGGTATTTGTTCAGTTTTTGGTTATTGTTTGTGGTATTTCCTAATTAGGAAAATGAAAGTTTGTGGAATATTTAAATTTAAAAAAAATATTTAATAGTTTAACGTAAGACCAAACTGTGCAATAAAAGATCTCGTTTTGAATAAACTATAAAAACAGAATAATGAAAACATTTTTTGCTTTTTTATTTACACCTACAATCTTTCATCACTACTATTCATTATTTTTTGGGAAGTCTTCCTAATGATGACGGTTTTTGGATTTGTCTTAACCCTAAACTATCGTGGGGTCAAATTTGACCCAGGACTTGAAATTTTGTGCGCCACTAGTAGACAGTTTGACAAACGACCTTATTATTGCATGTATTCTCCCACTTCAGTACGTAGTTTGGCATGCCACTTAGTAGCAAACGATCAGTGGGACACTGCACATATGCTGCTGAGTTCCGGTAGAATTTGACCCCACCATAATAGTCA